ATTATTTCAAACCCGAAACCAAAGCCCAAAGTGAGTCTGGGAAGAAATTTGTGATAGTGATTCCTCCTCCTAACGTCACTGGGAAACTTCATATAGGCCATGCGTTGACAAATAGTATTCAAGATACAATTGTTCGATATCATAGAATGCTTGGAGATACTACTTTATGGGTTCCGGGTGTTGACCACGCCGGGATAGCTACTCAAGTAGTAGTTGAGAAGAAATTAATGAAGGAGCAAGGGATCACCAGACATGACATTGGCCGCGAGAAGTTCCTTGAAGAAGTATGGAAGTGGAAAGATGAATATGGGAAAGGGATATGTGAACAACTGAAGCGACTTGGGAGTTCTCTTGATTGGTCTCGTGAAGTCTTTACAATGGATGAGACGCGCAGTCAAGCTGTTAAAGAGGCGTTTTGTCGGTTCTATGAGAAAGGGTTGTTATATAGAGAGCAGCGATTAGTGAATTGGTGTTGTACCTTAAAGACTGCGATCAGTGATATTGAAGTTGATTACATAGATATTGAGAAGCCGACTCCGATTAATGTCCCTGGGTATTCGAAGCCAATAGTCTTTGGTAATTTGACAGAGTTTTGTTATCCATTAATTAACCCTGAGACTGGTAAAGAAGATGGGATGATGCATATAGCTACGACTCGTATTGAAACGATGTTAGCTGATGCGTGTGTGTGTATTCATTCGCAAGATGAGAGATATAAGAAGTATCATGGGTGGAGTGTGAAGCACCCATTCAATGGGAAGTTGTTACCAATCATCGAAGACGATGAATTGGTAGATATGAACTTTGGGACGGGATGTGTGAAAGTGACACCAGCGCATGATCCGAATGATTATAATGTTGCGTTGAGACATCACTTACCAATAGTGAACATGTTGAATGACGATGGCACATTAAATAACATTTGCGGGGAATTTGCGGGGATGAAACGATTTGATGCGCGTGAGGCGATCATCAAGAAATTGAAAGAGATGAATCTCTATGTTGGAGTGAAGCCATCAGCTATGCGCGTTCCTTTATGTAGTCGAAGTAAAGATGTTATTGAGCCACGCGTGAAACCGCAGTGGTGGGTCAATTGTAAGAATATGGCCGAACGTGCTGTGAAAGCTGTTCGTGAGAATGAATTAGAGATGTATCCTGCTGAGATGAAGAATGTGTGGTACCGATGGTTAGAGAACATTCATGATTGGTGTATTTCACGACAATTATGGTGGGGACATCGTATTCCTGCGTATTTAGTGAATGTCAAGGACACGCCTGAAGTTGATGAAATGGATATGAAGAATTGGGTAGTAGCAAGAAGTGAAGAAGAAGCGCGTCAGTTAGGAGCAAAGGCACGGAACGTCGATATCTCATTAATTGAGTTAAAACAAGATCCGGATGTCTTAGACACATGGTTCTCATCAGGATTATTCCCATTCAGTGTTATGGGATGGCCTGAGAAGACTTTAGACGTCGAGAAGTATTTCCCTGGGGAGTTATTAGAGACGGGACATGACATTATATTCTTCTGGGTAGCTCGAATGGTGATGATGTCATTAGAACTAACTGATAAGATCCCATTCAAGCAAGTCTTATTCCACTCGATCATTCGAGACGCACAAGGAAGAAAGATGTCGAAGTCATTAGGGAATGTTATTGATCCCATCGATGTCATTGAAGGGATCTCTTTGGAGGGATTAAACGAGAAATTGAAGATCTACAATTTGTCGGAGAAGGAAATTGCAATTGCGACTAAAGGACAACAAATGAACTTCCCCCACGGGATCGAAGAGTGCGGGACGGACGCGATGAGGTTTGCGTTGTTGGCTTATATGACGCAAGGCAGAGATATTAACTTGGACATCAACCGAGTAGTTGGGTATCGAAACTTCTGTAATAAGTTGTGGAACGCGTTTAAGTTTGCGTCAATGAACTTCTCTGAAGACTTTACGCCATCAAAGAAAGTCGAGTTACATGCGAATTGCAGTGAAATTGATCGTTGGATTTTCCATCGTATGAATGTGATGGTTGAGACTTTAAGAAAGCAAATTGAAAGTTACGAATTTGGGAATGCGACACAAACACTTTACTCATTCTGGTTGTACGACTTCTGCGACGTCTTCTTGGAAGCGTCAAAGCCGACATTTAGAGGAAAAGAAAATGAGAAGAGAAAAGCAGCTGAACTGACGTTGTATGACGTCATGGAAGTCGGGTTGAGAGCACTTCATCCCTTCATGCCTTTTGTTACTGAAGAACTTTGGCAACGGATGAAGAGAAGATCGACGGACGTTGATTCAATTATGATGAGTCAGTACCCCGAATTTAACACGGAATTTGTCAATGAGAAAGTCGAAGAAGAAGTCAAGTACGTCTACACTATAGTCAAGGCAATTCGTTCATTGAACTCTACTTACCAACAAGCTATCATTCAATCAAAACAAAAGCCAGAATGCACCGTCGTCTCAAATGAAGAATACTTGAATCAATTCGCAGAGATGATCGAAAGTCTCGCAAGCACCGGGAAAGTCTACATCCAAAAGGAAGATAACTTAAAGGGAATGCCAATGGTTGTCGTCGACTCAAACACTAAAATCTACTCCCATTTGATCGGAATTATCGACCCAATTCTTGAGGTCAAAAGACTCGGCGAGAAGGCGGAAAGCTTGAAGAAAAATTTGGAGGAAGTCGAGGCAAAGACAAAGGACGTCCACTTCGACAAAACACCAGAGGAAGTCAAAAAGTCACTGTTTGAAAAAATCGAGAAGATCAAGGAGGAAATCAAGAGCACAGAAAGCGCTGAGAAGGCTTGCAAAGAAATGACAAACTGAATTGACGATTTTGAAACTTTATTCTATTTTACTAATTTTTTACTAATATTAATATAGTATGTTATTATAGTTTGTAAATGATAATATTATTATTTATAAAAGAATTGGTATTAATAGTATCTCAATAATAAATATGAACTAATAAGTTATGTGGTGTTTTTTTTTAAATTAATTACAAATAATATATTGGTTTGTTATCAAATAATAGTTATTTGTTTTTTATTAATATTTTTTAAATAATTTGCTAATGTACAATAAAATAAGTTGTAAAACATTATTGATTAAAAAATAATATATTGAGTTTTGAGCTTTTAAGTGAGCAAAAATTCAAATAGAAAATCTTTTGTTGTTTCATAAATAGCATTTCTATTTAAACATAATATTGTTTAAGCAATTATAAATTATTGTAAAATTTGTCATTTATTTATAGTTATTTTGTTGTTTTTCTAATTTTTCAATTTCTTTTTTTTAACCCTTACAATGAAAACTTTAATAATTTAATTATAAAATGGTTAAATTTACTTAAATAAAATTATACAAAAATAGTTGTTACTGTTAAAACAGACAGACGGTTTTAGACTAAAGTAAAATTTCTGTTATGTATAATTTAAATCATAATTTAAATTAATAAAATAGTATACTATACAAGAGATATTTAATTTTATATTAATTTGTTATTAATAACAAATAATAATGTTTTTTTTTGTCAAATCAATACTATCAGAGAAGAAAACCCAAAAAGAATCAAATAAATAATTTGGTAGTCGTACAAGAAAGGGAAAAAGTGTTAAATTTTTGGGATGAACTGCAAATATAAAATGAGCAAATTGTCGACGCTGGCTTATTTCCAAGTCTATAACTATGTCCCTCTACGTTTTTTGTACTCGCTTCTCTTTGTCAATAAGAAGAATAGAAATCTTATTTCAATGTTGACTGAAACAATTTGCGAGGAGAGTTATTTACCACACATCGCCCACACACCATTTCTGAACACATTAACGATACAAACCAAAAACCCTTCTTTGGGCGTGAAAGACCTTTCAGTGGTCAAAACGTTATCAAAACTCCAAAGAATTTCCATCGACGCAGATATCACAGTCGACCAATTGACACAGATTTTGGCACCAAAGTTGACTTCACTTTCGGTGTCGTTTTGTGAGAGTGGGGAGGAGGCGAACACTAAGTTCATTGACACAATATCCGGACAGACTACACTTCAGCAATTATCTATTGCAAAGGATTTTTCAAAACACAACAGATTTTCGCTTACAAAGGAAGTTGCGAGTTTGTCGAATCTCCAAAACCTGACTTCACTGAAGGTTTTCTGCTTTTGTAGCAGCTTCACAACAATTACAACCCTCGTCGCGCTCAACGTCTTTGTTGCAGACTCCACGTACTTCAACCAGCATATTGGCGAGTTTTTGGCGTGTCGCCGGCTCCGGAGTTTGACTTTACGAAATTACTTCACTCGGTTTTCACAGATTGAGAACGTGACAAAGCTGACCCATTTGACTTCGATGGACATTACTGAAAGCGAGGTTGGCAGTGATCCCCTTATCTCGTCTCTCACAACGATGTCCAACTTAAAATGTTTGCACGCCACGCTCACTGCAGATGCTCAAGACCTGCCGTCATTTTCGCAGACGCCAGATTACTTCCATTTCTTAGGCGACGTGTTTGTTGAACGAGGTTTGGACACAACCATGCATATTCCTCAAGGTTTGCGGTTAAAAGCTTTAAACATATGCAACGAGTACGACGGTGATTTCACGGACATAGCAAAACTCTTTACACTTGGGTTCGAATGTTTGCGTGTGTTGTCCCCCACAGTGAACATTGGCAAGGTGAGGACGTTAGGGAGGGAGGTGATTAAGGACTTTGTATTGAAGGATGTCCAACACATCGAAGCACCCAACGAGTTCACTCGATTCATTTCCCTCTCGAGTATCGACATCGTCAATTCCGTGGTTCCAACAGAGGTGTTTCAAGTCCAACATTTAAAGCGGTTAATGCTTGCAATGGTCAAACAAATCGACTTACAACCGGTGAGCCAACTTGTGTCTTTAGAGTCGCTTGTTTTGAAAGACATTCCAACGTGTATCAACATTGGTAGTGTGACGACAATACCACATCTCTTTAATCTAACGTTGGTTAACATCAGTGGCGATCTAAAACCACTCACCTTATTACAAAAGGGAGCACGGCTCATAACATCCAAGAACCTTATTGATGATGCTCTCACGAATTCCCTTGAGTTAAAAGGAGTTGTAATGGAGCAGTTTAACGAAATCGTCGAGGACGACATCTCTGACGAGGTAAATTGATTTTTATATACACATTTCTCGCCTTATCTTTCCTTTCTTTCCTCCCTTACAATCTCGCCCTTATCACTTCATCGTAATAGTAGCAATATTAATTAAATTATTAAATATTCTTAACAATGCAATCAACCAGATTTTTACTATAATATAAATAGATTATAACTATAAATAAATACTCCCATAATAATACCATAATTAAACTATAAAACAACTATACAGAGATATTAATAAGAATACCATAAATATAATATAATAATACTATAAATATTATTATATAGAGTGTTAACGTGATAGGGCGTATCCACACGGAAATGGTGAATCCCTGCGGATTGGATTATTTTGTGTGGATAGCCTCTTATTTTTTTGTCGAAAAAATTCAAATATCCGTTATAAACCATATGTTATGATTTTTAAAATTAATAATTGTTATTTATGATCATTTATGGGACAAAAATGATACACAAACATGAATACCCCCATAAGGAGTATTTCCAATATTTGCAATAATTTCATAGTAAGAAAAAACGCTATTTTCAGCCTTATTTTGGAGTGGTAAAATAAGAATAGATCAAAATGAACAAATAAAATAACTAACAAAATTTAAGTGTATTATCCCGTTTATTTGATACATGTAACGCTATTTTTTTCGTTTTTTAATTGAAAAAACATTTCAAAAGTGATTTATGAAATTATAATTTGGGAAATTTCCCGTTTTTTGCATTAAAAAATATTTAATTTAAATATCAATTAACAATTATATTATTTTTTGTTAATCGTGGCTCAAAAATGCATTAATTATCACTTTTTACTAATAGTATTGTAATTTATATAAAAATTCTATTAGTTTATTATTTTAATAATAATATTTGGGAATTGAAATTTGTTGAATAAAGTTCTTTTAGTTGTCAAAATTATACGTATAAAAAACGGTTTTACATCCTAAATAATATTCAGGTTTTGTTGGAAATGTTGAAGACAAAGGTTTTATGTCTAAACTAAACTATTAATTAATAACAATCAATTATATTACAATAGTACATTATTTATTGACATAAAAATGACAGAATAATCACAAAACAAATTCTATTAACATAGTTAAATAAAATTTAATTTTTACTATAAAAACGTTAAAAAGTTAAATGGCAAATTACCACATTGAAACCATAAGTTATTTTTTATGTTATTAAAAAATCATAACAATACTAGTTAATTAGAATAGAAACATACGGCAAATACCAACAAAAACCATCAAAAAATACAAGGGATGTTAATCATTACATTTAACATGTAATAATGAAGATTGTCTGTCTATATTTACCATCCACACCTTTTTAACCAATCCACAGTAAACTATGCCATTGTATTTTATGACAAATTATATGTTATTTTATAAATTATTCAATTTCAATAATTTTTTTGATTAAATATAGTTTATACAATTAATTAAATGAACTAAAGTTAATTAATTAAAAACTTTAGTCTTAAAATTTTTAACAAAAATGTTTTTTTTTGCGGCAAATTCGTTTAAATGGTAAAAGAAAAAAATGACTTTTACTAAAAATAAAATTTGTTTTTTCTGTTTTAACTTTCAAAAAAATCGCTTTTTTATGAATTCGGTCCAAAAAACCCATTTTTTGTCAACTCTTAGGCAAATTTAATCGCAATTACAACAAAAACATGTAAGATTTCCAAAGCCATCCACATAAAAGTGGTCTATCAAGTTAACACTCTTATATATAATGATATATAAGAGTATATATTATTATATAATAATAATATATAATATATAATATATAATATATAATATATAATATATAATATATAATATATATATATTATATATTATATATTATATATGTAAAGAAACAACAAGAGGAAACACTGAATCACAACATACCACAGGCTCCGCCCTTTTTTTCTTTTCCCGAGCTTTTAGTTCTTCTCACTGCCTCATCGAAGAGTTCAGCGACGCCCTTATTTTGAAGAGCGGAGCAGTCACAGCACGACAGTGCTTTAATTTTCTTCACGAGTTGTTGGCACTCGTCTTTACTTATCAATGTGTTTCCTTCCATTTGCAGTCGACTTTTTACGTCTTCAGACTCGCGAAGATCTGTTTTTGTTGCTGCCAAAAGGAAAGGCGCGTTGGGACAGAAGTGTTTCACTTCGGGTAGCCATCTCTGCGAAACATTCCCAAACGAACTGCGCGAGTCAATTGAGAAGCAGATGATCAAGATATTAGTGTTTGGGTATGACATGGGGCGTAATTTGTCCTGTAAGATAAGTTACTAGTAAGTATGGTAATATTAACTATATTAAATACTATAATCGAAAGGGGTAATAAATAGTAACTTTTTCTATTGCTAAACTATACATCTGACGTGTTTGAGAACAAACGTATTCCTCTTGTCCAGCTGTATCCCACTAAATGTCAATCTCATTCTTTAACTGTTAAATTATTGAAATAATTAATGAAATACTAATAAATAGAAATAACCTAATAATGATATTATAATAAAACTATATTTATAATAAACAACAAACAATACTCATAGTAACTTGTTCACCGTCGACTGTTTGAAGTCGAGAAAAATTGTCAAATACAGTCGGAATGTAATCTTGTGGAAATTGATTATTGACAAATGTTGAACAAAGCGCAGTCTAATCGTCAGAATTTTCTTGAAAAATTGTTCGTCATTTTCCATATTAATTTTAATTAGTATTTTATTTATTATAATAATTAAACAAACTTTTCCGACAGCACCATCACCCACCATCACAATTTTAACAGTCCTTCTTTCGGTCATTCTGAAACGTCAAATCTTGTGTGATTGATTTGATGAGACGAATACAACAAACGTTTTTGTTTATTTTAAATGAGTTCCTTTTTTTCTTTTGGGTTATTAGATATTTCCATCTGTTTTTCAAATTTTAATAGTTTCGCTTTTTCTTCGGGGAAGTTTTCTTTTAAATACAATTCCTGATGGTTGACTCTTTTTTCCTTTGTTTTATTAATTAATTTTTTTTTATGTTTCGATATTTATTAATATATAATTAATATATTATTATTTTATTATTATTTAATTATTATCAAAAAAAAACGAAATTTGTTTCTTTCTAATTTTTTTATAAATTTTAATAAAAAAGAGATAATTATTACTAATCAATTAATTTTTGCCAATGATTGTTTAGTTTTTTATGAAATTAAAAAACTAAAAAAATTAACGGACTTTATATTTGGTTTTGTCATTTTTTAGAACACATTATAATATTATTATTATTTTCGAATTCCGATATAAAACACACAATTTCAAGAGTTTTCTCAAATGATATTAAGTAAAAATATAATAAACAATTCATAAAGAAAAAAAGAAAAAAAGAAAAAAAATGTAAATTATATTTTATTAGAAAAAAAATCTTGATCATTTTATTTATATTTAACCAATAATTTAATTTACATTTAGTAATTAATAGTATTTCAAACTACAATCAAGTGTTTAAAAATTATTTAATTTGTAAACTAAATTACTTAATCACTTATAAAAAGTGATTCTGTCACTTTGAGCATACGATACAAACGATACCAATAATCAAAATGAAAGTGCCAGCACCGAAGAGTGTGAAATTTTTCCACCCTCTATTTGTCATTATACTGAAATACTATTATTATTTATAATAATACTACCATTAGTATTAGTAGTAATATTATTAATCAATAGTATTAATATTATTAATAACTAGTATTAATGAAATAGAATACGAATAGAATCATGAACTAAACAAACCTAACTTCCGCAAAGACAAGAATCCCCCACAATTGTGAGAGAAGTCCAGGACCCGATGTGATCAAAGGGAATGATACGACGTACGGTAAGTTGGTGTTAGCAATGAACCAACAGACTTGTGCCACACCCCACATCATTCCGCTGATCATTCCTGGGACTGCTGTTTCTCGATACATGAAAGGCTTATTTCTGAAACAAATAGCGTAGCATATGAAGTAGATAGTAGACGTAATAAAAATACCTAAGAAATGTGCCAAGACGACGTCGAGTCCGTTTGGGGAGAAGAGTCCGTTGTCTTGTAAGTATTTTGGGGGGTCGAAATTTGACCCGAAGAAAACGCCCGCGATGAGAGCCAAAGAGACGCCAAGAATCTTTTTTGGGATGGTCGGTAATTTCTGTAAGATGACGAAAATAGGGGACTCTTCTTGTTCAATGGGATGCTCTTTAATCTCCAGTGAAGAAGAAGATGGAAGTTCGCGTGGTATTGAAGATCCTTCGGGAGGTAACACCAAAGGCTGTGATAACACTTCTTTCTCTGTTTCGTTCTCTTGTTGAAGAGTTTTATCATCACTTTTCTTTACTTTTGTTTGTATAAACGCATAAAGAGGCACGGATAAAGCAACTAACACAACACCTACACAATTTAACCAAAAGATCTTGATATCATCTTTGTCGGAGTGAAGATGAAAGAGTCCAAAAGTTCCAGTAACCCATCTGTGTGTTATTTTTTATCACTTCTTGTTGTTTTTAGAGGTGTTCAACATAAAATCGTATAATGAATTAGTATTGATTTGTATATAAGAATTGTAATTGTAAAAACAAACCCAGTAATCATATTTCCTGTTCGTTAATTGCATTTATATGTTTGAAATAATATTCATGTTATGTCATTCATGGTATTGATATTTATATATTTATATGTTGATATATTTATAGAGTTAATTCATGACCAAATCTTCTTATTGTATGAGTTGTTTTATTATTACAAAAACAAACCTATGCCCCATATGGCTGGGCCTAATGACAATCCTATCATTTGTAATACAGGAACACATAATATATTTCCAGTACACCACAACGCACCACCAAGCATCGCAAATGGTTCAAAATATATCGGACCACCTTGTGTGGTTGCTCGAATTAACATAGTAAAAGTCCCTATTATCAATATCCCTATACACATCATCCATTGCAAAAAAAAGCCATCCCCCGATGGAAACTTTTTTACTACAACCCAATTCGACCCAAAACATAATATCGCTATCAAAACACTGATATACCCAACTACATCGTTTTTACCATCATCAGGTATGTAACTCGATTCAGAACTCATTTCACACGCTTTCAAGTTCTTTTTTTTGAATACAATTAAATTCGTTCTTTTTTCATTCCTTCATTGTATTATTATTTCAATGATTTTCATATTTTTCGAATCGAAATTTATAAGAACACAAATTGAAAAGTTGTGTCTAATTAATTAAATAATAATAATTGGGATCTAATATAAATAAAAAATGGCAACCATTATTTCATATCTTTTTTGGTTTTTTAAAATAACTTTTGAGATTTATTTTGGAATTTTTTAAAATTTTTTTCGTTTTTTACTGTATTATATATTATAATTATTTTGCTATAATTTATTGGATTGGTTTTATTTATTTTTAGTTACCAAAATGTTTCATTCATTTTTCATGAATGAGACATTTTGGTGACTAATATCTTATAAACTATGTTTATACTATTAATCGTTTTGATTTTTTGTAATGCATAAATAGTTTCAACTGACAATTATTGCTTTTGTTCTTTTATTATTATTATATAATTCAAGAAAACTATTGGTTTTTTTCTAAACAAATAGGTAATTTAAAAGCAATTTCAAACACACTGTTTTTTGTTTTGATTATTTAGAAAAAAGAATTATTTAACATACCATTTATAACTTAAAATAAAAGGATGTATAATATTAACTAAATATATTATATATTTTGTTAATTCGTATCATTAACAAAATGATACAAAAAAGAAAACCAATAAATAAATATCGTTGATATAAAGAACACCGATCCCTTTCTTTGAAAATCTTCGTTAAACTTTAACGACGAATAACAAAGACGAAAAATCAATCCATTTGTTATATGCTCTTAAGGTTAAGTCGAGTTATCTTTAAGTTTTTTTTGGTTCATTAAATCACACCAACAACATAACAATTGTGAGTATTTATACACATTGACGATATTCACGATAATTATAAAAGCAACACGCTTCATAAGATTTTAATTGTTGTTTCTATTACTCGAAAAATGTTTTTCAAATAACATTTTTCAAACAAGTTTCGACGGTCTTCTTCTCGTTATCGAAGGCCAAAATGATCTCTCATTTGTTCGAAGAATCAAATTAGTCCAAAGAAGACCCAAAAAGAAAAAGCGCCAAAGAAGCAACAAAAAAGTCGAATTGGAGTTCTATAAATAGAAATCATTTCGCCCCCATTGTTCCTGATTTTTTCCACTTGTTTTCTCAGAAATTCGCTATACTTCTTCGATAACTATATCACTCACCAAAATCTCGCAACACATATTTGGACGTTCTAATCGAAAACATTCTCCAAAATTCCGCCGAGACAGTATAAAAGAACGGATGTCCGAACTGAGACAACAAACACATCATGTCAGACTCTAAGGACTTACAAACTCAACTCCTTCACCCAGACAAAACCCACGTCTCTCACTCTCACGTCTTACCAATTTTCCAGACTTCAACTTTCTGCTTTGATTCAACCCAACAAGGAGCAGACCTTTTCATGGGAAAAGGCGAAGGACACATTTACTCGCGACTTGGAAACCCAAGTGTTGAACAATTTGAAGAAATGGTCAGAAACGCTGAGCACGCCGAGGGCACTGCTGCGTTCTCCTGTGGAATGGGAGCAATCAACTCGTCCACTTTAGCGTTTTTACAAAACGGCGATCACTTAATCACCGGAGATACATTATACGGCTGCACTGTTTCATTGTTTAACCACTGGCTCCCAAGATTTGGTATTCAAGTTGATTTCGTTGACACTTCTGACGTTGAGAATGTCAAGAAGGCTTGGAAGGAAAATACGAAAATGGTTTATTTGGAAACTCCAGCCAACCCAACCAACAAAATTTCCGATATCGAAGCAATTGCGGCTTATTGCCACGAACACGGAGCAAGACTTGTTGTCGATGGGACCTTCACATCGCCAGTCTTCATGAAGCCACTCGACTTAGGTGCTGATATTTCCCTCCACTCATGCACCAAATATATTAATGGACACGGCGATGTTGTTGCTGGTGTGTCTTCGACAAAGACCAAAGCAGACATTTTGACAATCAAGGCGTACAGAAAAGACGCCGGAAGTTTGATGTCACCGATGGATGCCTTTTTGTGTGTCAGAGGTATGAAAACTTTACCGTTGAGAATGAAAGTTCACCATGAGAACGGATTGAAAGTCGCACAATTCTTGGAGAACCATCCGAAGATTGTCAAGGTCAACCACCCAGGTTTGGAGTCATTCCCTGGCCATAAGTTGGCAATGAAACAAATGACTGGCTTTGGGTCGACTTTCTCCTTCGAAATGAAGACTTTCGAGGCAGCAAAGACTTTAATGGAACACGTCAAGGTCTGCACACTTGCTGTCTCTCTTGGCTGTGTTGACACTTTAATTGAACATCCAGCTTCTATGACACACGCTGCGGTCCCAGAAAATATCATGAGACAACAAGGCATCACCCCAGAGATGGTGAGAATCTCAATCGGTATTGAGAACCCTGACGACATTATTGCCGACCTCGAGCAAGCGCTCGTTAAGTGTTAATCAATAACCCACTGTTTCATTCACTTTGGTTCACCAACTCAGATCAACTTCAAAGACTTTCGAATATTTCTTGGTAATAATATGCACAGGATTTCATCCAATTTGTATTCCTTAAATGTGTTCTCGTTTTCACCAACTCAATCTCATTGTTTTCATTTTTTCACAACTAGATTTTTTTAATAACAATATTATATTTTTTAATACATGTTCATCAATTGTTTTTGTTGTTGAATATGGCATTTCCTTATTATGTTTTATTAGAATAATATAATTAAAATATAGTAATTCTAGTATGACATTTAATGGCATTTTTCTTTCAGATTTCATATTGAACTATTTATAATATATATAACTAAAAAATTATAAAGCAATTAAAATTACTATTTTTATTTAACAAATGTTTAATTAGTTGTTTAAAATTTCTATCATCATTTAAAACAAAACATTTTGATGTATTATAAAAAACTCAAAAATCAAAATTTCAAGTTTCACAAAAGATTGAAATGGTGGAATGTGTGAAGAGATGAGGAGAGAAAACAATGAATAAAAATAACGATATTATGAAAATTTGAGGACAATAACACGTTTATTGTCGAAAAATTCGCCAGACTTTGTCCAGTCGTCGAAGTAAAATTTACTATGTTCCTTGTCGACATTTAAAGGTCCGTGGCAGTCCTCAATGTGGTCATAATAACTCTTGTTAGTTGTCTTCTTTGCAATACGAAACCCACACACGCCAACTTCATACATAATTTGTTCATCATTTTTGTACACTTTGATCCAGTCAATCAATTCGTCTTGCTGATTGTTTTTGTTGTTGCACAACACCCACCGACGTGGGTTATCCGTTGGGTCTTTTGGGTTGACAAGTCGGAAGATGAAATTCCGCGCGTCTTGCGCGATGCATGTCTTGTCTGGTGTTATTTTCTGTCCACAGAAACACCCAAAGACATAACCGTTCTGTGAGATGTTGACAAAAAGTGTGTTTTGTCCGACAGAATCAATACCCTCAACGAATTTCTCCCAATCATTATTTTCAGAGTCGAAAATCACTTCATTCTTCGTCAATCCGCTCCACTTTAAAAGCACATTGTTGAACGTTTTAATGCACATTGGTAAGTTGTCTGGAGTCACAACTTTCGTACATTGGGAATGCTCAGACTTGTCAATGCGCTCCTCCCGCTCGGAGTCTGTCTCGACTGGCTTCGCCTTGCTGAAAAGGATGCCCATGAGACTCTCTTTGACAGTTCCTTTACAGACCAGAAGAGGAAACAATGGGTTTTTACAACAACCTATCATTATACAAAACAAAACTATCATTTCGGGAAAGTTTCCCTCTAATTTGTCTATTGAAGTTGTTTATAACATTTCCCAAAAGAACTGTTCTATACTGTTCAATTATTTCTTATACAATACTTATAGTTTTTTAATCGATACTATATAGTTATAAAAATGAATTAAAAACAATAATAACAGATATGGGAGAATGAAAGGAAATAACCAGATTACGTGCGGTTGGCAAAATTGGCTCTATGGTGTTCATTCATTTAAAATAAGATTGTTGAAGCAATTCTTGGTGCGGCCTGATATAGCAAGTTACTTTCATCCTCAAATAGAGTATTTTGTGACGAAAAAAAGTTGTGACTTTTCTTATTAGTTAATTATAGTAGTTTTAACCAATTGCTATCAATAGGTCAACCTTTTTATAGATTACTTTATTTCTTGATTGGAAACTTCCAAGTTCTTTACATGAAAATTTTTATTTTTTCATGTATTTTTGTGAATCGTTTTTGTTTCATTGTTATTTTTATCTTTTGTTAACAGTTCCAATGTTTTCATACATAAATAAATTTACATTTAATCGAAATATGCTGTTCTTAGTAACTCTGTGTAATTTGTATTTATGTGGTAAATACTTTATAAATATCATTTCAATATCAATTTGATAATTAGTTTCATAATAATTGATATTTTTTAATATTTTATTTAAAACACTAAAATTATAATATATATATTAAATAATAATAATATAATTATTGTTTTATAAATTACTTTATTATAATGTTTAATAAAACAAATAGTAATATTTATTGGTTTTATTTATTATATTATATAATTCAATTCATTCAAATAATTAATTGAATTAAAAAATATAATAATAATATTGAAAATAGTAAATAAATAGATTATTATTAAATATTATGAAACTTAAATATATTAGTATATAATATTAATAATATAATAGTTTTTTTTCTAAATATGAATTTATATATTCATAAACAATAACAAATTTATAGTAAATAAATTAGAATATAGAACCATTATTGAAAAATATTTTACAATAAAGAATTAGAATAGAACTAATATTTTAACTAACTTTTTCCAACTTTTAGAACAATTAAAAAAGATAAAATCAAACACTTTGAAAAGAGAAAACAAGAATATCAAACATACAACAAATGGAGGTTGAAACCCCAATTGAAATATCAACGCAACGCTTTAAACGATTGTTTTCAAATGAAATGCGTCCTTTGATGACTTCTGAAAATATGCCATACATTCAACTGATGTGGGCTTTAATGAAAATTCGGCTAGAAAATGACAAAATAGCGTCGAACACCACAGAACTCATAAAAGACAAAACAAAAACGGCGACACAAAAAGTTCGGTTAGAAGAGCTTTTTCAAAAAATTGAAAGTAATCAAAAAACAATCTCAGACAGTTTAGTGAAGAGTGCGGAACGAGTGAGATGTACTAAAAAGGTTGAGAATATCCCAATAATTCCTCAAGACGCCTTAGAATTGGAACACTCATTACTCACACTAAAAACACTTAATGAGATGAACAAAGAGAATTTGGATCGCTTGAAAAAAATAGAGATAGTCAAGGAGCTCGGTACATCTCTTCTTCGAAACGAAGGGTCACTTATTACTCGACAACCACTCACCCCTTTCAATTGATGTTTACTGTACTATTCATTTTAATTTCATTTACTACTTTTAGTTTTTTGTGGTGTACACTTTTTAATAGTTTATATATAATACAAGTAACTACTTTTTTTGGACAATTAACAACAAACAAACACAATTTTTTATTCCGGCACATTTGACTAGAATTATTTCTTTGAATTATAAACTATTATTTCGGTTATAAAAATACACCAAAAAAGAAAATTTGCTTTGAGGTGTTTATTTTTTCTTTTTTGTTGTTCTTACACTTTTTAATAACAATTATAGTATTTTTAATAATAGATACTAGTAAATTACTCTTGAGTAATAAGAACAGAGCGAGAACAACACTACTCCTGGCAAACTCAGATGATCGATACCTAAAAGTCATTAAAGAAAGTGAATAACTCAGAAAACCATAAAAGAACTAATAAACGCCCTTCAAACTTCAAAATCAGAGAATCATGTTTGGAATGGGTGGGCGTAAACCGATATCAGGGGATGTACCACTTCCCGACACATCGGAGACTGTACACATCTCATCACTTGCGTTATTGAAAATGTTAAAACACGGGAGAGCTGGTGTTCCAGTCGAAGTCATGGGGTTGATGTTAGGGGAGTACGTTGACCAATACACTGTTCGTGTTGTTGATGTCTTTGCGATGCCACAGAATGGTACCGGTGTTTCTGTAGAGGCTGTAGATGAAGTGTATCAAACGACGATGACGGACATGTTAAAGCAAACTGGTCGGAAAGAGACTATAGTTGGGTGGTATCACAGTCATCCTGGCTTTGGGTGTTGGTTGTCGTCGATAGATATATCAACACAACAATCGTTTGAACGCTTAAACGAGCGCTGTGTAGCAGTTGTAGTTGATCCGATTCAATCGGTCAAAGGGAAAGTCGTCATCGACGCGTTCAGAACAATTCAAAACCAATTTGGCTTTGGGACAGAAGCCCGTCAAGTCACATCAAATCAAGGCCATTTGAGTAAACCAACGTCTCAAGCTCGCGTCAGAGGGCTTGGAAAACAATACTACTCAATGCCTATCGAATTCTCTAAGAACGAAATCGATGAGAGAATGTTACTCAACTTACAAAAGAAGAAATGGACCGACTCCCTCCAAGTCGAATCGGCTGGAAGAAAGGAAAAAAACGTCCAATCAATCGACCGAATGATCAAACTCGTCAAAAACTATAACGAAAATATCGTCGAAGAGGCTCTCGACCCAAAACAAAGAGATTTACAACAGGTCGGAAAAATCGACCCAAAGAAACATCTGCTGAGCACAGCAGACGAGGCGCTGACTAATAATGTTGTCGACTCGTTGGGTGTACTTATGAACTCCGTCGTCTTTTAAATGAGACCGTTTTTACTATAATTTTATTATAAATTTACTATAATTTTATAATACATTTATTATAATACATTTATTATAATTTTATAATATATTTACTATAAATTTACTATACTAAATTATTACAAATCAACTAATAAAAATACTTGAGAAAAGGGATGGAAGTTGAAGGGATTCATCCCCTTCTTTTGCCATATCTGCAACGATTTCTAAGAAAACAAGACGACAAAAGTCTGCAGAAATTAAAAAGTGAAGTTGATGAAATGATTGATGGAGTTCCGAGAGAGGCTGAATATTGGAGAGCGGTGCGAGTGAAAATTGGAGAAGAACTTTTGAATTGGAATCAAAAGGGAATGGAGAATTCACAGAAGACAAAAATGGTGTTTGAAACACTGAAGAATGAACCCCTCAAAGTGAACACGACATTTGTGAAGGAAATCACATTTGGAAAAAATGACACGGGAAATACAAAGAAGGAAAAGCCGGAAGTCCAAATCCGAAAGAAAATGCGGCAAATCCATGTCAACGGGAAAATTGAAACGGTCACGGAAGGAATTCAGATCTCCGCATTGTATTCGAATTTTCAGGGAAAAGTCAGTTATCAGATCAAAAAGAATGAGAAGAACTTAAATGACTCTCTCCTTGTCATCACAGCGTCGGAGAAATACACAGACTTCCAAATCAATATCCCAAACAAAAGTATCGAAACTTCTGTCAGAAAAGGTTTTGTGTGTTCTTTGGAAGACGGCCTCTTTAGACTTCACTTCAATTTCAGAAATTAATTGGGTTACTAGAGAGTATAATATATCTATTAATAAGTCGTAGTAAAATAGATATACTATTAAATAGTTTAAGATATAGTATATTCTTTGACAATTCAACGCAAATAGGAAACTAATAAGAAACTAGAATATGATACTAATACATGTATTAGTTAATTTTATTAATAAGATATTAGAAAAGCAATGAATAGTTAATAGAATAAGAAAGAACTAGAATGGCGAAGTAGATGTCAGTTGTTGAGGAAGTAGAAGGTGTTGTTTCGTTGGTCACACGCGAAGTCAGTGAGTTTGTCGAGAGCTATACATCTTATAAACAAACCATATTAGAATCATTAAATCAGAATACAAAAGAAATAGTAGAGATGGTAGTGACACCAAAGGAAATGAAGACTTTTCATATCGACGAAACTATTCAACAAATCACACACACAGAAAATTACAATAAAGAACTCATAAAAAATCACCAACAAATTGAGATCTTAGTCCAACGGATATCCTGTGACGTGTCAACCATCTTTACTCTAATTTTCAGCGATAATAAAAAATATTTTATACCAAAATGTGTTGCAAAGAAACTGCTGGATAATGTCGAAGGCTTTGAAGATGAGTTGGAAGAAGTACAACTCGACATCGAATCAGTCGGATTCAATTTCGTACTCAAAAAATTGCGTGGAGAAAATTTTGAAGTTCCTGTGAATTTGAAGAAACAAACAAAAACAATTTTCGACTTTTTCGAAATTCAACTGTGAGGGTTTTATAGTGGTTTTATTTTTTGGTATAAAAATAAAGTAAAAT